ATGATTTTTGATTTCATCATATAATCAAACTTTGTTATTTTCTTATAATATTTTGATTTTTAAAAGAATTGTATGCATAACAACCTGGTCATGTACATGTAACAAGTTATTCGTATATAGTTTTAATTTTATCCACTCGAAAATTAAGTAGTCGATCCCAAATTTAAATATAGGATAAGGGTTTTCAAAATAATTTTTAAAAAAAAAATTCATATCTAATTTCAAATCTCAATTCAATTTATTATTTATACATTTTACTTCTACAACTTTATATGTTTCATGTTCATACAATTCAATTATTCAAATCAAATCTCATCAATTCTCTTTTTTAAACCACTCTTGTTTAAATCATCATTCACTTCCTTGCTCAATTTTATATTATCAGTGCCATCTCCAACTTCCTGAGAATCCTCCATACAACCATAATTTGGATATTGTTCATAATTTCTCTTCAACACTACAATTCATTATCTCTCTCATTAATCATCTTACTATTTCCATAATTGATGCATATTTTAAAATAATTAATGAGGAGAGAGACAGTGAATTAGGAATTCATTATCTCTCTCATTAATCATCTTACTATTTCCATAATTGATGCATTTTTTAAAATAATTAATGAGGAGAGAGACAGTGAATTAGGTTTGAATGAACAATATCCAAATTATAGTTGTATGAATTATTTTCATGAAGTTGGAGATGGCATTGATAATATGAAATCTAGCATGGAAGAGAATGATGATTTAAACAACATCTGTTTAAGGAAGAGAAAACAAAGATTATTTCATTTTTTTTGGAAATTAAGCATCTGAAAACTAAGAATCCATATTTATCAAATTCCAAGTATCGCCCTAGAACTTGAGGAAATGGATTTTTTTTTATATTTTTTATTGGATGCCTTAATTTAAAAATAAAAAATTATAAATATAATAATTTTTTCCTGTACAATTTTAACTCTGTCTACTAAAAATTAAATGGTCAATCCCATGTCCGGAGAAAATGAGGAGAGTTCAAAAAAAAGATACAAAAAAGTCAAGTTCATGGGCCGAGCTCAAGATTGGCCTTTGAAAGCCGAGCCGAGCTCATGGGTAATAAGAACTTTCATTATTAAAAATAGGAGGAGTACTATACAATTTTTTTATATATTTATTTATTTATTTTTTTTTATTTTTTTTGGGCTTTCACCATAGTATTTTTCTTTCACTCAAGTTTTGTACCATTAAATTTTCTTAACAAGTTTCAATGAGACAATTTTTCACTATTTCAACTTTTTATAATTAATTCTACCTTTTTGCCCCTTCTTTTGGTATTGTTCTAATGAGGCAATTAGTTTCTAAATAGTCATTCAAGTGGGAAAGTTATAAAATAATTAACAATGAATGACTAGTTGGTACTAACTAGAAGTTTAGATGGCTTTTCTTGTTATTCTAAAATTCTCTTGCCACGTCAATAGTGGGAAGCTTTTATCCCGCATGAGGTTTGCTCATTGTGCGTTAATTCATTTCATGTTATCTCTCCCCATCTTCAGATGATAAAGACAAGATGATTTTGAGATGACGATTTGTGGTAGCATTGATTCAGTAATATCATATTTTAATATTAAATTCTTTTTGTAAATAAAGTTAACTTTCAATTTAATTGTCTTATATTTTTATTAAGCATAATTTTTTTAAAAAAAATAATTCATTGATATTTATTATGTTGAAGAAAAATCTAATTGTTTTCCACATTTATGATTTTAAAAGATAATTTGATGATGGTACTTTCAAGTCAGATTGTAACTCTTATTCAAATCATATGTATAGATGTCCTTGTTATAATTTGAAACATGTGGCTCTCTTAGTTCTATTCTCTTTTTCCATTATTCACTCATTTATAACAGTTTCTACATTGTAGATTCTTATAAATTTGAAATTAAAATTACTTTTTGATATAAATTAACTTATTAATTTTAATGGATATAATGTGTTTTCATTTGGAATTAAACAACTTATTTATTGTATTTTTTTTATTATTTTTAAATTTTGTGTCCAAACTACAATTTTGGTAGATTTTTACTTTTTAGAATTTGTATTAAGAGATGCTTTGAGTGCACAGTTAAGGCGAAAACAAGAGAATGTTGCAAGGATTGAATGAGAAAAGAGTTCATATCTTGAAATGCTTGAAGTGAAGATACTATTTTGATGCATGTTTATTTTTTTCTCCTTTGAGGGCTTGAATATGCGCTTGACAATTTACTGGTGGTTCTGTTAGATGAGCTGTCACTTGGGCATTGATGCAGCGAGAATGTAGTGGTGAATTTGGAGCAGCCGATGTTATGTTGATATTATTCAAGGTGATATTAGTACAAGGAACGGTATCGCTGCAACTGAAGTTGATAGTAGCTTTCTTGCAAACGGTTGTTCCTTGGATTCCAGTGTATGTCACGTCACTAACTTGGACGGCTGATTCCTATTGAGGGACAGAAAAAACAAATAATATGAAGGAAGAATATGAATCTGCAGATTTAGATACTTGTTCATTATTTTTCTCTATAGACTGCTCAAATACAATCCCTCATCTCCCGCCCCGATCGAAAAGAAAATCACTGTAAAAGCTTGGGCGAATTTGCTTACATTGGTTGGCTTGCATACTCTGCCATTGCAATAAAACTGGTCTATGATAATAGGGTTATCAGCAGCTATTAATGTTATGTCTGAGAAGCTTATGTTCCTGGCAAATCCAGAGCCTCCCTACACAAGAAGAAACAAAAATACATGATGAAACGTTTTACTTGGAAAATATAACGTATGTCGATTCCATTTCTTCTCTTCAGCACTTGTCAGTTCTAACCTGCCATGTTTTGATTCTTGCTCCATTTCGAGTTCCATTAAAGCAACATTTGTTTACAAGTATTCCTTGTACTTCATCATGCGCTCCATTATGTCCTAAACTTCCAACACTGCCAAAAGAGAGTATGAAACACAAAATATATTTCATCAAGTTATAATATTGAATGGTTGGAAACAAACCTTATTCCATGGCCAGGACCGCAAGCAACTTGGGTTATGTTAACATTCGAAGTACCCCCATTAATGGCGATACAATCATCCCCTTTTTTTCCATATGAATAAGATCATTTATATATAAATATTAACACAAAAAAATAAACCAAGAAAAAAAAATGCAATGATATGAAGTTTACCAAGAATAGTAAGGCAGAAAAAATGCAACATGGAATAAAATTTTACCAGTTTTTATTGTGCAGTTATGAATCTGAATGCTGGTGGAAAAGCTTATATCAATTCCATCAGTGTTGGGACTTCTTTCAGGGGCAATGATATGAAGTTTTTCAATGGTTACTCCATTGCATCCGTTTATTGAAACATGATTCTTTTGGCTGTTTATATGTTTCAGTCCACTCACATAAAGATTGTTACAATTAAAAAATCTCATTGCCTGAAATAAATTGAACCATGTTCATTATATGTAATTTCTCAATATATATATATATATATATATATAAAATTGGTTTTTTTAAGATAAAGATTTTATAAATTTGGATGACTTACCGTAGGTCTGTCAAAATGCATTGCCTGAAATAAATTGAACCGCGTACATTATATATAAGTTTTAAATATTAACAAAGATCTATATATTTTTATTTTTATTTTTTAAAATAAAGATTTGATGACTTGAATTGGGTTTGTCAGTATCAACACTTGCCAGAAACAAAGGAAATCGAAGTAAGTAAAAAAAGTAAATCTAAAAAAATCAACAAATATTAAATTTCCCTGCAGTATTAATTACAAGTGATGTTACCATTTTTTACTTGGAGAACATGCTAAATTTATGTGACTCAAAAAAAGTGAGCAATTTCGTTTTGAATGTTAATGAAAAAACACAAGTCATAAGAATTGTTGCAAACGTTCAAGACAATAAATGTAAATAGAGCGTATGTAGTTAATAAATTAAATTAAATTAGTAAAATATACTTAAGTATAATATTTGATAATTAATTTAACAATTTTACCAATTTGAATTTATATTTATCTTAGTAATAACTTTTCAAAAATGCTAATACTTGTTTTGTTTTTCAGAGTAAAAATACTTGTTTTTTTTTT